CAACACCGTGCTCTACGCCCGAGACAAGTGGCTGGTGAGGCCCCCTGCAGGGTGGGAACAGCTCACAGAGCCTGGACTCCTTCGGCCACGTGTTGATCACCTGTCAGTCAGGGCCTGGGCAGAAAACCAAAAGCCATACTAGATATTTCCCCCACAGGGGACTTCATGCAGGGGACTGACTGCTCAGATGTGGGAGGGCCCAAAGCCAGGATGGGAGGTCACAGGCACCAGGAGCTAGACAGTGACAAGGAGACAGAGTCAGGAGGTGGCTGGTGCTGGGGTGCTGGGAAGAAGACCATAGCAGTGCGAAAGGATGGGGAGAGCCCAGAGGGCCATGGTTCCAGGTGCTCAGGGAGCAGGCTCCCCAGGGGCCGGTGACTGAGACCTGAACAAGGGGTAGGAGCTGCAGGAGATCTGGGGCGAAGAGCATCTGGACAGAGGAACTGGTGCAAAGGTTCTGGGGCAGGAGTGTTTTTACTGTGTGTTGAGGAACAGCAGGGAGTGGACTGAGGGTCTGGAAGAACAGTAGAAGGGAAAGGGGTGGAGGGGCCTGAGCATCCCCGTGAGACTTTAATTTTCCTCTCTGAGGAGCCAGGGAGAGTTCTGCAGATTCTTCAGAACCTATGAAGGACAGGTGTGAGACTTAGGTGCTCCTGGATGCCACCTGGCAGCCGTGTGGGGAGTAGATGCGGGCGTGAGGGCAGAAGCGAAGAACCAGTGAGGAGGCCACTGTAGGAGTCCAGATGGCTCAGACCAGGGTGCGGATAGCGTGTGTGGATAGAGACCCAAATTGTCAAGGTTTAGGGGCAGTGTTCCAAGCCTCCCTGCCCCAATCCTTCACACCGTCCCCTTACCCCTCGGCAGGCCCCTGATGGCCTCATCTTCCCGGACCGAGCCACGCTGTATGTGACAGCCATTGAAGATCGTCAGTACAAAGACTACAAGATTCACTGTGAGCTCGGGGGGGCCCCCCCCAGGAGCTCGGGGGGCGGGGCAGGCTTGGCCTGGGTGCCCCTGATGGGCTCACCCCTCCTTCTTGCCTGCCTCCCCAGGGTGGGAGAACGTATACGGCTTTGACATGTCTTGCATCAAAGACGTGGCCATCAAGGAGCCCCTGGTGGATGTGGTGGACCCCAAGCAGCTGGTCACCAATGCCTGTCTCATAAAGGTGAGGGGGGGTGTGGCCAGGTGTCCCCAGGGTTGGAACCAAGGAAGGGCCACCAGCTGACCCTGGACAAGACATCAGGTCACCCAGTGTTTGCCTGAGGCCTGGGAGTCTGACCTATTGGCCAGAGGTGGCGCTAGAGGCCCAGAGAAGCCACTTAAATCCATTAAAAAGCTTCATGAGCCAAGCCCCGTGGGTGGTTCCAGGTGCCACCGGGAGCAAGACCAGTGAGCAAGACCAGACTGGTGGGCACTGCTCTGGGGGGATGCATTCCAGAGGGGGCACCCCTGAGCTGGCCAGCACTCCGGATGCAGGAAGCTCAATGCCCTGAGCGAGTTGATACGCACTTGGGCCACTGATAAAGAATACCATGGCAGTGATCGGTTCTTGACCCCCTCGGTGTCCACACACACAGCCGGACACTGGGGTGAGCCCTAGAATTGCGCTGGGCTGTGAGAGGTGGCCCAAAGCTGGTGGAGGAGGAGGGAGTCTGGAGTGAGTGAAGACAGGAGCTGGGAGGGTGGGTGCCAGGGAGCTGTCGGAGGGATTTTGAGCAGGAGTTTGACATGAGCTGATGGACAGTGTTTTAAAATCGTCACATTGGCTGATAGGTCAGGTAAGGGGCTGTGGTGGGGGGTGGGGGGGCAGAGGTAGGGAGCTCCGTGAAGAGGCCCCCGGGCAGGGCGAAGGCCATGGAGAAGGGGCAACGGGCAATTCTCTGAAGCAGAAGTAGTAGCTCTAGGAAGCTCCCATGGGCTTTGGCCATGGGAGAGAAGGAAGCAGGACCACAGCGTGGCACCCCCAGGCTTCCCCGCCTCCCGCTGGGCCGCGTGTTGGGGAGTGGGGCTCACGGGGCCTGTCCCGCAGGAGGTGGACATCTACACTGTCAAGGTGGAAGACCTGACCTTCACCTCCCCCTTCTGCCTGCAAGTGAAGCGGAATGACTACGTGCACGCCCTCGTGGCCTACTTCAACATCGAGTTCACCCGCTGCCACAAGAGGACGGGCTTCTCCACCAGTGAGCGTGAGGGGGGGCAGGAACCAACAGGGGGAGCCAGGGGGCCGGTCATGCTTCAGTTTCCCCACCCGTGAAACCGTAACCAACAGTTCCTCTCCAAGGCTTGATGAGGGTGAAGGGATTCAGGGGTGGTGGACCCCAGTCGAGGCTCAGCAGAGGTTATAGAGGGGCCAGGCTGAGGCCCAGGGTGGGGGCTGGACAGGAGGCCTGGCAGCTGGCCGCATCCCGGCTGACCCGACTGCACCCCCAGGCCCCGAGTCCCCCTACACGCACTGGAAGCAGACCGTGTTCTACATGGAGGACTACCTGACCGTGAAGACTGGCGAGGAGATTTTTGGCACCATCGGCATGCGGCCCAATGCCAAGAATAATGTGAGGCGCTGCGGGGCCGGCGGGGGTGTTGGGCTCAGGAGGGGCATCGCTGCCTGTTCTGGGGCCCCAGCAGCCCTCTGCTCGGTTGAGTCTGCGACCCCTGGGGAGACCCCAGGTGGATGGGAGGACAAAGGGCCTGGAGTCGGGGGGGCGGGGTGGGCCTGGGCTAGAAGTGTGGATCTGTGGGCGCGGGGCTGGGTGATGCTCAGGGAGCACTGCCGGAATGGGTGTCCCAAGGCCACAACCCCTCTCAGAGGACATTTGTCACTGGAGACCTTTTGGACTCTCACACCTGGAGAAAGATGCTAGTAGCATCTAGCACAGGACAGTGAAGAAGCCTCGACTGTGACTCCCAAACGTCAGTAGTACAGAGCTTGGAAAACCCTGGAGTAAAGAGACCAAAGGAGAGGCCCAGAGAAGCGGGGAGGGAGCCGGGAGCCTGGGCCGAGGTTGGGGGCCTGAGGGCAGAAGTCTTCAAGGTTACTGGCGATTTTGGCCCAAGCCTTTCCAGGGAGTGCTGGGGGTGGGGAGCACGGAGCGAGGCCTGGCTTCCAAGAAGCCTGGGAGCTGAGGACGTGGGGACAGTAGGGCGGGACCAGTGAGCGTTGCCGTGGAGGAGGAAGTGCGCTGGAGCAGAGGTTTGCTTCCTAGAAAAGAGGGAAGGAGTCACTGCTTTACTGATGGGAATGGTGCTGATGTGGGAACAACCGTCATGCCTCCGAGCTCTGCCCTGGAGGGGTGGGCTTGGCTGGGCTCCAGGTGCCTTTGAGAGTGTCACCCGCGGCTGGGAGTCAGGGCTGAGGGCGGATGCTGAGGGTGGGCCCAGCAACGTGGGGTCTCCCAGCCTGGACGTGGGGGTCTCCGGGGAGCTTGGGAGGTGGCTGGGGACACACTCCCTGCGGCCGCTTCCTGACTCAGACGGTTCCAGATCTCTGCCTGTCCCATGTCCAGTTCCCCTCACATCTGCCCTCTCCCCACAGCGCGACCTGGACTTCACCATTGACCTGGACTTCAAGGGCCAGCTGTGTGAGCTGTCCTGCTCCACTGACTACCGGATGCGCTGAGGCGGGCCCGGCTTCTCCCACCCCGGCCGGGCCGGCCCTACACGGGCCCAGGGGCTGCGGCGTTCTTAGGCAGTTTGGGGGCTCCCCCTTCCTCTCCTTCCCTCCCTCAGAAGGGGGTTTTAGGGGTCTGGGCTGGGGCGGGGCACATCGTGACTGTGTTTTTCATAACTTATGTTTTTATATGGTTGCATTTACGCCAATAAATCCTCAGCTGGGACGGCTTGGCTTCCTGGGGGGCAAAGTGGTGTTGGGGTTCGGTCTGCAGGGGCTGCGATGACAGCCTGAGCAGCGGGGGGTGCTGGGATGGCACCTGCTGGTAGCTGTAGGTCTCTGTCCCCACCTCTGTGTCTCTAGGTCTTGCTCCGTGGCTCTGGCCTCTAGTGGTCTCTGCTCCCCTGTCCCTCCCCCCCCCCAGTCTCCCTCACTCATGCTCCCTGAGGCCCTGTTCCCTCTTGTCCCCATTGGGCAGGGCTCCTGCCCCCAGTTGCCCTGCTGGGCTGGGGGAGGGTTGGGGTGTGGGTTCCCAGCAGAGCTGGGTCCTTAAGTTTCCCAGAAAGTCATCTCCCCCCCCTCCCCCCAGCGCACACATTGTTCCACTGTCTGGCTGTTTTTTCCTGTCCAGGACCCTCCCAAGGCCAGGCCAGGGCTGACTGGCAGTGACTACTGCCCTGCCCTCTGCAGGTGGGGAAACTGAGTCATGGGGGGTATGTTAAGGGGATAGAATTCCTTGTGCGTCTGCTTCCTCCCCCAGCCTAGCTTGGGACTTGGAGGTGGGGGACAAGGGTGGGGGGGGTGTCCCACCTTAGGGCAGCAGGGCCTCCCCGCCTCCCCTCTTTACAGAGATGGACTCAGAGGCCCCACTGACAGCTCCCCAGGGGCTGTGTGTTCACCCTCTGCTGCAGGCGTGGCATCTACACCTGACCCTTCCTCACGGCCTTGTGCACAGAGTCTCTGGTCCCCCAGGGTGCTGTCCACAGGACCCGGATCACCTAAGCCATGACTTTCCACGGCCCTGGCTCCACCTGCTTCAGGACAGCTGGAGCCCTAGGCCTGGTGGCACTTCACACCCGTCTACACCTAGTCCTCTTCCGGGATGGTGTCCGCCTGCGGTGCTAGGGCCCAGACTCCCTTTGTCTACAACCCGACGTGGCTCTGCTCGCTCCCCGCATTGCCCAACCCACGAAGGAGCCCGGCCCTGGAGACCTCGAGGTCCCCAACGGGTTGAGGTTGAGGTCGCAGGAGCCCAGCGCCTCCCTTCCCCCACCCCTTTCCTGGAAGCCCTAAGCTGTGTCACCACTAGCAGGTGTCAACTGCCCCGCCCTTCTTCCCTCTGCCTTAAAGGGGTCCCTCTCCCGAGGCCTCCCAGGGTCATAGCTCTGCCGTGTGACCGCACCCGCGAGGGCTCAGAAGCCAAGGAGTAGGACGTGGGGATCCGGGTTCTAAGCCTCCCCTTCTGGCGTGGTGTGGCCTCCTCGACTCTTGGCCGCGGTTTTCCCCACCTGGGCAGTGGGGACTGGCGCCCAAGCGGGCGCCAGGGGACTGTCGGACTCGGGAAGGGGGCGGAGCCGCACCCCGGAGGGGCCCCTTTGCACATGGGTTTGGAGGACCACTCCCGGCCCCACCCCACGATGACTGCCCACATCCTCCTGTTGCTTCTCGCCTCCTCCGTCCTGGGGGACCCGGACTCCGTGGGCAGGTGAGAAAGGCGGGTGGCGGCGGCGGGGACAGGGCAGGAAGAAGCCCGCGAGGAGCGTGCGCCCTCTTCAGGCCACTGCTTCCCGCGTCGGTGGAATGATGCTCTGTAAGCGCGCCTCTGCGGTCGCGGAGTTCTGGGTGCCCCGACCCCACCGAGACCCCTTTCTCGAGAGGATTCTGTTTGAACCCGGCCTTCTCCCCTGCTCCCTCCCCAGGCAGCCCCGGCACCGCAGGCGCCTCTGTTCCCTGGGCACATGCCAGACCCACCGCCTCCCAGAGATGATATACTGGCTCCGCTCTGCCTCCATCAAGGAGCACTCAGGGAAGGCCGGCCGCGAGCCCCAGGACCCCCACAGCTACGGGCGCCGCCGTCGGCGCGAGGCCAGGGTCCTGCTCCGTCTCCAGGGCCTTGGCCTGAAGAAAAGAGGCCAGCGCAGTGCCCAGCTTCCTGGGTGACGTCAGGCACGTCCCTGGCCCTCCCCTGGCCTCAGCTTACCCATCTGTGTATTGGGGCCACGACCCCAAGTTTCTTTTCCCCTAACTCCATCACCTGGGCTCACTCAAAAACTGTCTCCCCCCGCTGTGATCTGGGCTGGACCCAGGGGCACACCGGACCCAGCGTGTACAAAGAATACTAACGTCCCGAGCCTAATAAAACGAGTTTCCTGTTTCATACTCTGCTTGTCTGTGCCCATTCCGTCCTCCCAATCTGAGCCCAGTATCTAACATATTCGTCCCCTTTATCCATGCACCTTTTCCCACACGGAAGTCCCTCTGACTATCTAACTTGAATCCAATCCGCTGTAGCTTCTCCTTCGCACGACTCAGTCCGTGCAGCTTGCGTTTTCCGTGGGCGGTTTTGGTGGGCTGACCCAACCCCAAAGCAGCCCTCCCTCCGCGGGATGGTAGAACTTTGATTCGCTCTGGCTCGATACCCACGCGCGTGACTTTACGTGTACCCAAAGGTGGGCTGTGGGTTCCAAGCTGAGCCTCGTTTTGCAGAGAGGAAGGAGAGTGAGACAAAGCGGAGTGGGAAGCCCAAGAACCTGGGGTTCGGAGGAGAGGAGCCCCTTAGAACCCGGGAAGCCAATGGTGGAGAAATCGGGCGGAGTAGAAAAAGACTGAGGGCTAGGGATCGGACGCAGGGAGAGGATTGGACGCCGGGATTCGAGGGGGCGGGGATAGAACGCAGAGGGTTGGAAGGGGGCGGGGATAAAACCAGAGACTCTAATACCCGGCAAGGCACGCGCGAGGCAGAAATCCGGGTGCCTGGATGTTGGATAATCGGGGGCGACCAGGAGCTCCGGAGGCCCGACGACCAAGTCGCGGGCTCGTCGCCCTGGGATTGGACATATGCAAGTGGGAGACTTGGGTCTGGCGCTCTAAATCGAGGGTGGGGGAAATCGAGGGTGGGGGGTGTGCTCGGGCTTGGTCTCCAGGATCGGATCGGCGGACCTCTGACTCAGCCTGGTAAGTATTGGAGGGGCTCGAGCTTCTGCGGGGCCTGGAGGCCTGTGTCTTGGGTTGGGCGTGCGGGCCTCTCCATCACTTGTCCTCGAAGCTCGCATCGGCTCACAGCCTCAGCATCCCTGGCTGTGAGGCATGCGCAGCAGGGTGCTCCCTCCCCCATCCCCTCCAGCCCCTGGTGCGGGGGAGGGGACGCTGGGCCACCCTAGAGCGGACGAATTTATAGACATTCCCCCCCTGCTCCTCCCCCGCCCCTCCCCCCCCCCCCCCCCCCCCCCCCCCCCCCCCCCCCCCCCGCCACTCCCCACCCACCCCATCCCCCCCCACCCCCCTGTCGCCCTGGCATGGGAAGCGGAAATGGGGCGGACGGTGCCAACGTCCGGCAGGTGTTCATTTCAAATGGGTCTCGGACTGATGTTTTTCTCTAGACCCCGCAACTCAACCCTGGACCTGTTTCCCGCCCCCAACCCTGAATCTTGAAAGTCCTTCATGGGGAGGGGCGCCCTGCCTTGCACCTCGTTCTCAGCAGAACAGCAAAAGGAATTAACGCGAGTTGTCCCTCCTGCCTCTCTATGCGTTCACAGAGGTCCCCAACTGACGTCCCTCCAGCACCGGGAGGTGTCTGGCCAAGTCCTTCAAGACCCGTCAGGTGATTAGGGAAGGGTGAGCTGCCGTCCTATATTCCTGGGTCTGTAGGAGGAGGGGGTTGGGGGCCCGGACTCCCGGGTCTGAGGCTGGGGACCTAGAGAATGACCCTCTGTCCACCTCCCAGGGCTCTAGGGTGACATGGCTGAAGCGCACCAGGCCGTGGGCTTCCGACCCTCGACGACCTCGGACGGGGCCGAAGTGGAGCTCAGTGCCCCTGTGTTGCAGGAGATCTACCTCTCCGGACTGCGCTCCTGGAAAAGGCACCTCTCCCGTTTCTGGGTGAGGAGAGCCACGACTTGGTTTTCTTCCAGGAATCCATTTAGGTGCTACAGGGGTGCCTGAGGCCTACTCCAGCGTCTGGGTGATTCCTTCATGGGATCCTATCACCCCCTTCTGAGAATTTTGCTGTCGACTTTCAGAACCCCTTAAATAGCCATTTCTGTGTTCTCCGAGGCTCACTTGGGAACCCTCAACCTCACCTACTGGGAACCTCTATTCACCTCTTAACACCACTTCCTGGACCACTTCCCTTTTTCCTCACACCCCCCAAACCCAAATTCCAGTTTCTAGAATTCAGACCCCATACCCCATGGTGCTCCCCTTTCGTCTCTAGGTTCTAAACTGGGTGCTCATTTCAGAACACCGTGACCCGATCAAGATCTTGGTCAGCCTGCACCCCAATCCTGAAGGGCCCTTCTTCCCCCAGCCCGTGCCCCTGGGTCTGGGGGCCGCCTCCTTGCCCTCACTTCTGAATCCCCAATACCCTTCTCTGGCATGCAGTGCACCTTCCCTATGGTTCCAAGATGTGAACCTCCAAATGTCTATATCCACACTTCTCCATCACTATAGACCCTGCTGTCCCAGTCTGGGCTCGTTGCCCTTGCTCTAGAATGCCCACGCCCAACATCTAACCAGAGCCCACGCCTGCCCCCAGGGTCACCAGTTCTAGAACTATGGCCCTGCGTACATCCAGAGTCTCCCTGTCTGTGAACACAAATCTTGAACACTTGTGGGGTTGGCCAAGCCTGACTTTGAATCCTGGCTCGGCCACTTACCAGCTGCATGGCCTTGGGCAAGTGCGCCTCTCTGAGGCTCAGTTTCCCCACATGTCAAACGGGGGTGATGATAACACCTCCCTCACAGGACAGTCGCGAGGATTAAGTGAATTCTTCTTACATATAAGCACTGAGCGAACCGCCTGGCCCATGTCAAGTGCAGAGTAAGTGTTAGCTTTTGATAATATTGTTCTTGATTCATTAACCGGATATCTATGGAGCATTTATTAAGGGCCTGCCACTGCTTGGGACACTGGGGACATGGCAGGGAGCAAGACAGAATCCTGCCCTTGTGGAACTCTTGATTTAGTAGGAGGAGAAGGCCATAGGGGACACATAAGCAAGATGTGGAGTATGTCAGATTACGTGACATGTGCTATGGGAGAACAGTAAGGCCCGCCAGGTGGAAAGAGGGTGCCTGGGGGTGTTGTCACTAAATAAGGGGGTGGCCCGGGGCCCTGGAGGATTTCCTGAAGCTGAGACGTTTGAACAGGCTGGATTGAACCTCTATAACCTTGTGAGTTATTAAAATAGAGAGATATCTGTTCCGGTGGATAAATAGCCACTACCCCAGACCCCCAAAGAGTTTCTGTCTGGTTTTTTTTTTTTAAGATTTTATTTTCAAGTAATCTCTACACCGGACATGGGACTCAAACCCACAACTCTGAGATCAAGAGTCACACACTCTACTGACTGAGCCAGCCAGGTGCCCCCCGCCTCCAAAGAGCAGGGGAACCCCCTGGGCCTCAGGCTAATCCATCAATTAAAACATTACCATGTGGCCATTAGCCTGTGGTTAAATACATAAATACACATATACATACACACACATAAGTGTGTGTATTGAAAATTAAGATATAGTTTCAGAAAAAATGCAGTCTTAAAATATACAGTCCTTGAATTTTGACAATACCCGTGTAACCAACTTCCTATCAAGACAGCCTGGCCTGGACCATTCTAGAATGTTCCTTTGAGCCCTTTTCCGGTGCGTGCCCCCCACTCAAGGCAGCCACTCGCTGTTCTGATTTCTATGCTTCTAGGTGGATTTTGACTAGTGCTGCACTGTTGACTTTTTGACCCCTAGTTTTGAGTCCCCCACCCCAGACCCTCTCATTAGTGTAAATTGGTAATTGTAATAATGATCATTCTTGCCTTTCTATCACAGCCACCCCTCTCCCCGTTGGACACCTGATGCTCTTCTGTCTTCCTCTTCCATTGTGGGACCCCATGGGCCACCGCGAAGTCTCGTAGCTCCTGGAACATGGTCCCAGGGTGAGGGCTGTGCCCTCAGCAACCACAGGGCTGAAATTCCATAATTTCTTCATTTATAAAATGGTATCCCTGACAGTCCCTCCCTCAAGGGATTGTTGCAACCATTAGTGGTTTTAGCAGAAGGCCTGACTCACAGAAGGGACCCGTCCAACATTGCTGTTTTATGATCCTGGTGGTTCCACATAGGTGCTGTGTGCCCTCCGGCATGTTCTTAACTTCTCTGAGCCAAATCGCATTAGGTAATATTTAGTGTATCCTGGGCTCTACACTCACCAAGCCCTTTAAATGTATTGCGTGTGAATAACTCTTGATCTCAGGGTCCTAAGTCGGAGCCCCACGATGGGTGTAGAGATTATGCAAAACTAAAATCTTTTTTTTTTTTTAAGATTTGTTTATTTGACTCAGAGAGAGAGACAGCGAGAGAGGGGAACACAAACAGAGGGAGTGGGAGAGGGAGAAGCAGGCTTCCCGCCGAGCCGGGAGCCCGATGTGGGGCTCGATCTGGGATCATGACCTGAGCCGAAGGCAGATGCTCAACGACTGAGCCAGCCAGGCACCCCAAAACTAAAATCTTTTAAAAATAAAAATAAACCTATTGCTCACTTGATCCCCCTTATAGCCTTCTAAGGTAGACCTATTATTAGTCCCATTTTACAGATGAGGGAACAGAGGCCCAGAGAAGGGCTTTTTCACTTTCCCAAGGTCACATAGCTGCTAAGAGGCAGAGGTAGAACTAGTCTGGCTGTGGAGCCCACGGTCATGCCTGCTGTCCCGGGCGGGACCTATGCCATGGGGCTGTCGTGGATTATGTGCAGTGGGTCATTTGGGCCAAGCAAGTGGCACAGCATCCATGTGGGTCATTCATCAGCAGGAGGTCAGAGGGATTCCTGAGTTGGTTTCCAAATGCATACGAGATGTGGCACCTTGCAGTGCATCCTGTTGCATTAGGGTCCTGAGGCATCTGGATCATTTGAGGGGTTGACATTGGACCCTCTGTGGCTTTGGACAAGTTCTTCCAACTTCTTCTCTTCTTGGTTTTCTTCACCCGAGTGATGGACATAACGGTATTTACTGCTACCTTACTGAGCAACAGGGCAATGAGATGATTTATTGATGCGCCTGGTCCTTGGGAAGTGCTCTGGAGACATTTCCTGTTATTACAAAGCCCCTGTTCTATGACAATCCAGAGCACCAGATAAAGGAGCCAACAGCTTCTCTTAAAAAGAAATCATAAACAACGAAAGCACCACGTTTGCCTGTAAGCTTTGCTGGCCAAACCAAAGAAAGATCGTCAAGTGAATAAATGCCCAACAAGAAGCAGAGTAGCAATAGAAAGGGTCATTGTAATCATGTTTATTGAACGCCTACTGTGGGCCTGGCTCTGAGCTATGCAATTCGCCCTCCTCCCAGCCCCCTTGGCTTTGTTTTTCTCCATAGTCCCTATTGCCATCTGTCACACTACCCTAAATCCTTTTGGGTATCTATTGTCTCTGTCCCCCAGGAGAGCAGGACTCTTGCTGTCTTCTTGTCACTGCTGTAGGACTGCAATCAGCATTTGTGGAAGGACATTTTCTCATCCCACCCTCGTGACAGCCCTATGAGCCCTGTACTGGGATTGTTCCCATTCTACAGATGAGGAAACTGAGACGGAGAGGGGAAGCCACTTGTTTGCGGTCACTTAGCTTGTTAGTGACAGAGCAGGGATTTTAAGCCCAGGGCTCCAGAGCCCAAGTTCTAAACCACGATCTCTGAGGCTTTCCTGTTGGTTAAATGTGGGGGAAAAGAGAGAACGTGGTTTCTTGAGCCCTGATGCCGATACCCCCACTAACAGTAGCTCTTATCGTGGTGTGTGACCTTGAACCTAAGTGTTCTTTTGTAAAATGAGATCACTAAGTACCCACCTCACAGGGCTGTTGGGGGGATTTTAAGAGCTCATCCTTGTAGAAGGTGCTTGGTCATGAGACTTGGTTAAGTGTTAGTTATCTCCATGACACTTCCCTGGGAGTCTGGTTAGTAGCCCATGACTTTCATTCATTCCATGGCCATGTAGTTCTAGAAGGCCTACCGAGCTCCAGACCCTGCTGTATATGGGGGATCATTTTGCCTGAGAGTAACCTCCAGAGAACCCTCCCTGACTCCTTCAACTTGAGCAACCTGCTTCTGCAGGGCTCCTGTGCCTTGCTTTATGTCCACTAGCACTCGCTTCATTCCTGACTCACCTCCCTGAGGGCAGGACCCAGATCTGTCTGGTTCCCACTGGGTGTTGAACACCCAGCTTGGGGTTCAGCACACACTGGGTACTCTGTCAATATCTAAGAATTGTGCTCAGAGGAGGGATAATTGATTGAATGGGTGCCCTTTCCTCCCCACAGAATGACTTTCTCACTGGTGTGTTCCCCGCCAGCCCGCTCAGCTGGCTCTTCCTCTTCAGTGCGATCCAGCTCGCCTGGTTCCTCCAGCTGGATCCTTCTCTAGGACTGATGGAAAAGATCAAAGAGTTGCTGCCAGACTGGTGAGCTCCCCCACCTGCGCTGAGTAACCTCCCTAATGCCTCTCCCTCCACCCAGTGAGTTTCTCTATTAGTGTGGCATGCCTGCTAAAAGTAACCTCAAAAATACATAAATAAACAAATAAATAAATAAAAAAAGAAAAGTAACCTCTGAGAGTCACTTTGGGTCAGATTATAAAGGTACAGCACGAGTAAAATGGAGGTGATTTCATCCCTTTGTTGCTAAGAGGGACACTGACAAGCTAGAAAACGTCCAGATACGGTTATATATGCACTGACAAAAGTAGGAGCTCTGCTGGGCTCCAGTTGTGTAGTCTTAGGCAAGAGACTTCACCGTTCTCTTGTCAGTCTTCATTTATAAGATGTAAGTAATAATAATTGCTTCCCAGGGTGGTTGGGATAATGAAACAAAAGCATGCACATGGAAGGGCACCCAGCTGGCTCAGTAGGTGGAGCATGTGACGCTTGACCTCAGGGTCGTGGGTGCGAGCCCCACGTTGAACATGGAGCCTACTTAAGTAAATAAGTAAGTAAGTAAGTAAGTAAATAAATAAATAAATAAAATCCTTTTTTAAAAAAGCATGCATGTGATCCATTCAGTACAGGGCCAGGAGGTTACTAAATGAGAGTGGTTGTATTATTGTCATTTTGGAGAAAGTTTTGGAAGCCAGGTGCAGGGGAAGTGACAGGTTCTAATGGTTCTAATTCTTGGCTTAGTCCTCCTGGGGATGAAGGTTCAGGTTTTGTACAGATAGTTCCAAAGGGCAGACCCAGAATCAGAGGTAGGAATTTCCGGGAAGGCTAGATTTATCCAGTGTACAGAGGGGAAGTAACTCCCCCCCCCAAGTCCTCCAGGTGGGCCTTGCTCACACGTCTGATTGCCACTTCGCAAACATGTTGATCTACGGTAGTTGTCGATCAGCAGATCAACGTTTTCTTAAACCTGCATGTGTATTGGAACCACCTGGGAGGCTTGTTAAAACACTGATGGCGGGGCCCCACCCCGAGAGATTCTGTTTTAGTAGCTCTGGGTGGGGCCCGGGGATTTGCATTTCCAACCAGCTTCCAGGCCCTTCGGATGCTGCTGGGCCAAGGGCCACACTTTGAGAACCACTGCTTTAGAGTAGAATTTGATTGTTGGGAGAGAGAAGTGTGTCCGTCCCTTCTTCTTCTTCTTTCTTTTAAGATTTTATTTATTTATTTGAGAGAGAGCACGTGAGGGGAGAAGGAGCAGAGGGGGAGAGAGAGAAGCAGACTCCCCGCTGAGCAGCGAGCCCAACATGGGACTTGATCCCAGAGGACCCTGGGATCATGACCTGAACTGAAGGCAGATGCTTAACCAACTGAGCCACCCAGATGCCCCAAATGTGTGTCCCTTCAAAAAAAAAACCAAAACAAAACACCAGCTCCCACTTATTAAGTACCTATCAGTTTCCATGAGAAGTGATTTTAGGAGCTTTGGTGTCTTCACGAGCCCAGGGGGAGAAGGGGTGGTATAGAGAGAGGATCCATGCCTACTTTACAAAGGAGGAAAAGGGATTTCCATGACTGACTCCATCCAATTCTAGAAGATAGGCCCCGAGTCAAAGGACCAGGGTCAGAGAACAATCGGAGGAGCAGGGGCTGGGTGGGGTCGGAGGGGAGGGCCGTTCCGAGGCCGGGAGACCCAGGCCCATTTTCTCTTTCACTCCCAGGGGTGGACAGCACCACAGGCTTCGGGGAGTCCTGGCCGCAGCACTGTTTGCTTCGTGTCTGTGGGGAACCCTGATCTTCACGCTTCACGTGGCCCTGAGGCTGCTTCTGTCCTACCATGGCTGGCTCCTTGAACCCCACGGAGCCATGTCCTCCCCCACCAAGACCTGGCTGGTATGTGAGGGGCAGAGCCCTCCCTGCTCAGGCCCTCCGGGGACCCACTTCTCTGTCTCCTTCTCTCTGGTCTCTGCCCCCACCTTTTTGGGACCCTGTCCACCTCTCTCTGGTCTCTATTCCTCCTCCTGGGTTTGTGTCCCCACTTCCTCTGAATCTCTACCCCATTCTCTCTGTAGGTTGCCACATCACCCCCGACCCTGGTCCCCAACCCCAGGCAGGGGTGTAACAACCCACTAACTCCCACTTCCCTCCAGGCCCTGGTCCGCATCTTCTCCGGCCGCAAAACAATGCTCTTCAGTTACCAGCGCTCCCTGCCACGCCAGCCCGTGCCCTCGGTGCAGGACACCGTGCGCAAGGTGGGCCTGCCTGGGACCTCCACCGGGGGCGGGGTGGGGCGGGCGGGGGCGTGACCTACCCTCTTCTCCTTGCCCCTCAGTACCTGGAATCTGTCCGGCCCATCCTCTCCGACGAGGACTTCGACTGGACGTCAGTCCTCGCGCAGGAATTCCTGAGGCTGCAGGCGTCGCTGCTGCAGTGGTACCTGCAGCTCAAGTCCTGGTGGGCGTCCAATTACGTGAGTCCCACACCCGGATCCGCAAGGTTCTGAGGCTCCTTCCTAACCTGTAGGTCTAGGCCCCGCCCCGCCCCGCCCCACGCCCCAGGCCCTGCGGCGCTTGAACATTTTTGAGCCCCGCCCCCACGCTCCCATAGTATAAACCCAACCCCCGATGCTCCGACTTGCTCCTCCTACTCTCCAATATTCTGAACCCCATCGTCATGTGCCTACATACTGAGCCTCCCCACCCCATGCTCCCACATTCTGAGCCTGACTTCAATAATCTAAGCCCCGCCTCCAGGGCCTGCCCACATCCACAGCCCCGCCCCCAACCCTCCAGGACTGCAACCACAATTCCAGGACTTATCCAACATTTCAGCCCTCCCCTGGCAGAAGGCAAAAAACATTTTGAGCCTCCGCCCCCAGAGTTGTTCTTGTTTTACCCCCTCCTTCTGCGTGAGGGCACCTCCCCCAAATGGGCTTCTGAGTTGAGGAGCTAGGCCTTTGGTAGTACTCTGACTTGAGCTTCTTGGGAAACTGAGGCAAAGAACAAGACGGCAGTTCACCCAAATCAGGGCTTACAGGCCTTTTATTATGTAGGAAGTCATAAATAACTGGCGGGCAGCGTGAGATGAGATGAGGTGCAGGTAGCAATAAAGACACATAGGGTGGTGTGAGTGTCTGGGGGGTTGGGATGGTCTGACTGGATGAGAGGTTTAGGTTTCCAGGAGAAGTTCTTAGGGCTGAGCCCTGAGGGTTGGACAGAACTTGAACCTGTCAGGTTGGTAGGAGGGAGAGGGCTGAGCAGAGGTGAGGAAATAAGGAGGTTGTAGGGCATGTGTTGGGAACAAGGAGGGCTTTCCTGTGGCTGGAACAAAGGATTGAAGGGTGATCCTCAGGAGAGGTGATGGTGGAGTGGCGGGGGGAGGCCTGACAGGGGGATGAGGCAGAGTCAAGGCAGGAGGGTGGGGCTGGGACTGCCAAGCCGAGGGTGGGGAGATGGCGAGGGTGGCACCCACGGGCCCCACCTGGTGTGGGAGGGACTGCAGGGCTCTCTCTGAGATGGGGAGAAGGGGAGCAGCTTTGCGGTGAAGGCACTGAGCTCCATGGGGGTGCCTGAGGGGTACAGAGGAGATGCCCCGGGGCAGCCGGATCCCTGAGTGGGGGCTCAGGAAAGAGGCCTGGGTGACAGCAAACGGGACCTTCAGCTGCAGAAGGAAATTGAAACATTGGACTTGGAAGGGGGAGAGGATCTGGGACAGAGCCCCAAGGGGCAGCAACATGGAAAGGTCAGTCAGACAAGCTCCATGGAGGGGACTGAGTGGTGTCTGGAGGGGTAGGAGGGAAGCCAGGCCTTAATTTTTACATTTTTTTTTCCCTTCAAGCAGTTGGGCCAGATTCTGTGCCAAAACATATGCTCATGCATTCTCGGACACACACACACACACAATGTATATATTTCATCGTACCTCTGAGGCTCTGCCATCATAACATACCCCATTATCTTAAGTACAACAAAGAAAAAAAAAAAAAGGCCAACTAAAGGCTGACACAGTGCTGTCTTATCACAGACTTTTTATCTATATTTTTAATTTGTTATATAAATTTTATATATTATATGTAATTTTAAATTGTATAATATATAATATGAGTGTATGTTTTATAACTTATAGAAATATATTTAAATTTTTTTTTTTTTTTATTTGAGAGAGAGAATGAGAGAGAGAGAGTACATGAGAGGGGGGAAGGTCAGAGGGAGAAGCAGACTCCCTGCCGAGCAGGGAGCCCGATGCGGGACTCGATCCTGGGACTCCAGGATCATGACCTGAGCCGAAGGCAGTCGCTTAACCAACTGAGCCACCCAGGCGCCCTAGAAATATATTTAATATACCATGTCAAAAATATGTAACATAGATATACATAATTTTTATTGTGGCAAAACGGACATAATATAAAATTTACCATTTTAACCATTTTTAAGTATGCAATTCGGTGATATTAAGTACATCCGCAATGTTGTGGAACCATCACGACAATCTGTTTCTAGAACTTTTCATCCCAAACAGAAACTCTGTACCAATGAGGCAACACATCCCCATTCCCACTTCCCTAAAGTACCAGGTAACCTCTAGTCTACTTACTACCTCTAGCAATTGACCTATTTTAGATTTTTCGTATAAGTAGAATCATACACGATCTGTCCTTTTGTGTCGGATTCATTTCACCAGGTATGATGCTTTCAGGGTGCATCCATGTTATAGTGCACATCAGATTTTCATTCCTTTTTATTTATTTTTATTTAAGATTTTTATTTATTTGAGAGAGAGAGCACAAGTGGGTGGGAGGGTCAGAGGGAGAGGAAGAAGCAGACTCACTATTGAGCAGCGAGCTCGATCCCAGGACCCTGAGATCATGGCCTGAGCTGAAGGCAGACCCTTAACTGACTGAGCCACCCAGGCGCCCCATTTTCATTCCTTTTTATATTAACATTCCATTGCAGGGGCGCCCGGCTGGCTCAGTCAGTGGAGCATATGACTCTTGATCTCAGGGTTGTGAGTTCAGGACCCATGTTGGGTGTAGAGATGACTTAAAAATAAAATCCTGGGATGCCTGGGTGGCGCAGTCGGTTAAGCATCTGCCTTCAGCTTAGGTCATGATCCCGGGGTCCTGGGATCGAGCCTCACATCAGGCTCCTTGCTCCGCAGGGAGTCCGCTTCTACCTCTGCCTGCCACTCCCCCTGCCTGTGTGCTCTCTCACTCACTCTCTCTCAAATAAATAAAATCTTAAAAAAAGAAACAACAAATAAAATCTTAAAACAAAAAAACATTCTATTGTATGGCTAGAACACACTTTGGTTGTCCATTCATCTGTTGATGGACACTTGGGTCTCAGTGGTATTTTTTTAAATCTCATATGAGATCATTTCACGTATATTGTTGTGCGCCTAGCTTTTTTCAGTTGGCAGTGTGTCTCGGTGCTTGCTCATTCTGTGGCAGTAATATAGATGCGCCTTTTTCTTTTTTTCTTTTCTTTTTTTTTTTTAATTTATTTGACAGAGACACGGCAAGAGAGGGAACACAAGCAGGGGGAGCGGGAGGGGGAGAAGCAGGCTTCCCGCGGAGCAGGGAGCCCGATGCGGGGCTCGATCCCAGGACCCTGGGATCATGACCTGAGCCGAAGGCAGTCGCTTAACCAACTGAGCCACCCAGGCGCCCCTGCACCTTATTCTTTTTTAAGAGCTTGGTAGTATTCCAGGACATGAGTGTAGCACAGTTTAGCTAACTGATCCCCAACTGATGGACTTCTAGGTTACTGCTAGTTACTGATCACGATGACCTCCTTCACTGAGCTCCACCCTCCCCGTTTGACACAGCAAAGTCTTGGGAGTCTTGCCACTCCCATTGTCCCCCCCCCCCCCCCCCCCACCTTGGCGGCAGCTGCCGCAGTCTCACATCTCTCTGCCCCACTCCTAGGTCAGTGACTGGTGGGAAGAATTTGTGTACCTGCGCTCCCGGCACTCGCTGATGGTGAACAGCAACTATTACATGATGGTGAGGGGAGAAAGCTGGGGAGGGGCTGTGTTCATAGCTCCCCGGGGCTAAGGTTGGGATGTCTCTGTAGAAAATGGGGTTTAGGGTCAGTGACCCCAATCAGAGTCTAATTCACCATCTCGCCGCCTGTTGGGGTCAGGATCTGGGTTTGGGATCCGGGCCCCCGATCAGGGGGCCAAACCTGACCCCAGGCGTTTTGCCGTCCCCTTGGCTGGCCCCCAGGACTTCCTGTACGTCACTCCCACACCAGTGCAGGCCGCTCGTGCTGGGAACGCAGTCCATGCCCTCCTCCTATACCGCCACCGCCTGAACCGCCAGGAGATCCTGCCTGTAAGAGCACCGCCCCCCCCAAACCGTGGGCTGGGGACAGAGCGCCCCTCCCCCACCCCCCACCTGTGGGCTGGGGACGGAGACTGTGGTCCTATGGCCGTGCGGCCAAGTGGGTCCTGGGAGGCAGCGTCCTCCGGAGCCCGTGGTCTCTTGCAGACGCTGCTGATGGGAATGCGGCCCTTGTGCTCTGCCCAGTATGAGAAGATATTCAATACCACGCGCATTCCTGGCATCCCAAAAGGTGAGATTCCTCTTGCGTCCTCACTGACAGAGGCATCACAGTGTAGTGGTTGAGAGCATGTTCTCCTGGGCTCGAATCCCAGCGCCATCGCATCGCTCCCTAGCTGTGTGACCTTGGGTCGGTTACTACCCTCTCTGAGCCTTAGTTTTCTCATCTCTAAAATGGGATAATGCTGGTACATAGGGTGGGGAGGATTAAATGAGTGTTTAGAACAGTGCAAGCCAGGGCACCTGGGTGGCTCAGTCGTTAAGCGTCTGTCTTCGGCTCTGCTCTTGATCCCAGGGTCCTGGGATTGAGCCCCGCATGGGGGGCCTGCTTCTCCCTCTCCCTCTACTGTTCCCCCTGCTTGTGCTCTCTCGCTCTCTCTGTCAAATAAATAAATCTAAAAAAACAAAAAACAAAAACAAAAAAAAACCAGTGCAAGCCATACAGGACATGCCTAATAAATGGTTCTCATTTTTAAAATTTATTTTAGAGAGGGGCACCTGGAGGGCTCAGTCATTAAGCTTCAGCTCGGGTCATGATCCCAGGGTCCTGGGATGGAGCCCCACATCGGGCTCCCTGCTCCGCGGGAAGCCTGCTTCTCTCTCTCCCACTCCCCTGCTTGTGTTCCCTCTCTCGCTGTGTCTCTGTCAAGTAAATAAATAAATAATCTTTTAAAAAATTTATTTATTTATTTAAGATTTTATTTATTCATTTGAGATACAGAGAGAGAGAGAGAGCATGAGCAGGGAGACAGGCAGAGGGAGAGGGAGAAGCAGGCTCCTGGCTGAGCCAGGAGCCCAATGTGGGGCTCCATCCCAGGACCCTGGGATCATGACCTGAGCCGAAGGCAGACGCTTAACCATTTGAGCCACCCAGACGCCCCTAAAAAAAAATTTATTTTAGAGAGAGAGAGTGTGTGTGCGCTGCTAGCAGGGGGAGGAGCAGAGGAGGAGGGGGGCAGGGAGGGGGACAGAATCCCAAGCCAACTCCCTGCTGAATGTGGAGCCTAGAGCAGCTGGATCCCAGCACCCTGAGATCATGACCTGAGCCAAAACCAAGAGTCAGACACTGAACCAACTGAGCCACCCAGGCGCCCTAAATGGTGCTTATCCTTGCAGTGTATCTGACCTTCCTGCCGTCCACCCTTCTGCCCACCCCACCCCTAGACCACATCCGCCATCTCCGGGACAGCCGACACGTGGCCGTCTTTCACCGAGGCCGATTCTTCCGCGTGGGGACCTACTCCCAAAGCGGCCTGCTCTCCCCGCGGGCCCTGGAGCAGCAGTTCCAGCGAATCCTGGACGACCCCTCCCCCGCCTGCCCCCAGGAGGAGCATCTGGCTGCCCTGACCGCCGCACCCAGGTGAGAGTAAGAGGTCAGGGTTCCCGACGGCGCAGCCAGCCTCTGGAGGTTGGGGAAAGGCAAGCTGGGGAGCCAGGCAGAGGCTGGGCAGGGTGTGTGGGCTCAGGCACATGTCCCAGCCCCTCCCCCTCCCCAGGGATGTGTGGGCCCAGGTGCGGAGTTCCCTGAAGATCCAGGCCAAGGATGCCTTGGAGGCCGTGGAAGGAGCTGCTTTCTTTGTATCACTGGACTCGGAGCCTGCAGGGCTCACCAGGGAAGACCCCGCAGCTTCACTGGATGCCTATGCCCGTGCCCTACTGGCTGGCAGGGGCCATGACCGGTGAGTCAGCCCCTGGACTTGAACCTCACCCCAACCAGTGACCCCAGAACCCGGTATCCAGACCTAGGACTCTGGGCACTAGACAAGCAGACCCTGGACCCCAGATCTGAGGACCACCAAACCCCAAACCTGGACCTTCAAACCTAGAGACCCCCAAAGCCGGAACCCCAAGCCTGGGGACCTTAGGCTCAGAACCACAGAATCCTTAGATTTTCATGCAGGCACCCTGGGACTTCCTACCTAGAGATCCTCAGACAACTTCCTAGATGCACCCCAGGCATCACTCTGATTTCTGAGGTTCCCGGAAGAGTCCCCCTAACCTCTCAGCTCCTTGGGAACCTTGACCCTTTCTTGGTATATTCCCTCAAAATCTTCCAATTTCCCAAGCCTTAGACATGCCTCAGAAACCATCTAGACCGCCTGGTGGAGACCCCCAGCCTCTGGTTCCAGAAAAATCCATCCACCCTGACACTCCTACGTTCCACAGAGAGCACCTGAGTTCGCTCTTGGCCCCTTGGTGACCACTTTGAATTCTCCCCCTGTAGCTGGTTTGACAAATCCTTCACTCTAATTGTCTTCTCCAACGGGAAGCTGGGCCTCAGCGTGGAGCACTCATGGGCTGACTGCCCCATCTCAGGACACATGTGGGAGGTAGGACGGCCAGCCCACCCCCGCCCTGGGGACCATCGGCCCCATTTCCAAAGACCTTCCTCTCCGGGGCCTTACACTCAGAGGGAAGACAGAGGCTCAGACAGGCAAAGATGGGACCGGAGTCGCCCAGCAAAGAAAAGGGTGTCTGGGATTATGACCTTCTTTTGATGGATGGGTAGTTGGGGCTCAGAGAAGGGAAGTGATTTGCCCAGAATCACCGAGCCAGGAGCTGTAGAGCAAGAATGTGATTCCAGAATGCTGTGTGACCTCGGGCAAATGACTCCCTTCCTCTGAGCCTTGATTCTTCCTTCATCAGATGAAAGGGTTGGATTTTCTTTGATCTGGAAGCTCCCATCCAATCCTAGGAACGATAGCATCTCTATTTTCTCTATTTTATTTGGTCCCTAAATCATAGAGGGTGGTGCCTATACCCTACCGGGTTCCCACTCTTCCACAGCGTTACACGAGGTGTTGGATGGGGCCCAGGGTGGGATCTGGTGTGTTTGAGGGGAAGAGAGGCCCCTTTGAGATCTTAGGAGCAGCCCCGGGTAAGTACTGACTCTTCTGTGCCTGTTTCACAAATGAGAATTTTCCCCCTTTGATGATACTGGTAAATGAAACTGTCAATTCAGTTGAACCTCAAACCCCTCAGACCCTTCTTGTCAACATGAGGTCTCTGCACATTGGCTTTGAATGAAGAGATGTCACATAGAATATGGTATAGATCATTGGAAACTCCAAGGCCCCAAGTGAGGTGTTCTTCTCCTGATACGTTTCTAACATTGCAATGGGGATGTGAATCCCTTCTTCCTAAGTTATCGTGAGAATTAAGTGGAAGGCTGGTGGGTGGTAGGAGCTCCATCAGTGCTGATTTACACTAACAAGGGGCGCCTGGGGGGCTCAGTCGGTTAAACATCTGCCTTCTGTTCAGGTCATGATCTCGGGGTCCTGGGATCGAGCCCTGCGGCGGGCTCCCTGCTCAGTGGGGAGTCTGCTTCTCCCTCTCCCCCTGCTCGTGCTCTCTCTCTCTCTCTCAAATAAATAAAATCTTTTTTTTAAGATTTTATTTATTTATTTGACAGAGAGAGACAGCGAGAGAGGGAACACAAGCAGGGGGAGTGGAAGAGGGAGAAGCAGGCTTCCCGCGGAGCAGGGAGCCCGATGCGGGGCTCCATCCCAGGACCCCGAGATCATGACCTGAGCCGAAGGCAGACGCTTAATGACTCAGCCACCCAGGTGCCCCTAAATAAATAAAATCTTAAAAAAATAAGAAAATATTTAACAACCAGCAGGGCGTGGGCAGTACCCAATCAGAATGGAGGCGGACCCCTCTGGAGGTCCATACTGTGCTCGGCTCTCACTCTCCCATCTCAGGATCCTGGTGGAGGTGGTGGTGGGGTGTCTTGGGAGGGCTGGGGCAGCCATTGATGGCTCTTTATCTACCAGTCAGAAGCAAAGGGTCAGTAAGCACCCACTGAGCGTTAGTATTGGTCCTGCTCTCAGTGAACTTGAACCTGAGAACCCACCTGTGAACATCAGAGGTTTCTGTTTCTCAGGGACTGCCCCCCCCTTCCCCCACCCCCAGGCCCCAGAAGGGACTTATGAAAAGAAGTCCCTGGTTAGATGGCTCTCAGCCCAGAGGGAGGAAGGGGCTCTGACAGCCTCCGTTTGTACACAGTTCACTCTGGCCACAGAGTGTTTTCAGCTGGGCTACTCGGCAGATGGCCACTGCAAGGGGCATCCTGAGCCCTCGCTGCCCCAGCCGCAGCGGCTACACTGGGACCTTCCAGAAAAGGTGAGACGGGGCTTTGGGGCCTCTCCTCCAAGTACCCAAATCCCCCTGGCTGTGACTCGAAACTCATCCCCACCCCCAAACTTAACCCCAACCCCAGTCCCACCTGACCTCCATCCTTAATCCAGCCCTTCAGGGACATGTTCGTTCATTTCTGCACTCCACCCCTACCCTGACTCAGTTCCCACCTCCACGTCCAGCCCCACTCCCAGCTCTAACCCTACCCCATCCATAACCCCAGCCATCCCTCCCTCCCTCCTCCTCTGGCAGATCCGTCTGTCCATCTCTCTAGCCCTGAGGGGAGCCAAGACCTTGTCTGGAAACATTGACTGCCACGTCTTCCCTTTCTCCCACTTTGGCAAGAGCTTCATCAAACGCTGCCATCTCTCTTCAGACAGCTTCATCCAGGTGGCCTTGCAGCTGGCCCACTTCCGGGTCAGTTGGGGCCCTCGACCTCAGCCCCTTGCCAGGACTTTGGTTCCCCTGGGCCTGCCTTGTCAGTCCCTTTAGTGACTCTTCCTGGTCATTGCCCTTGTGGGTCCGCCATCTTGATTTCTCTCTCCCAACCACACATTCCCCAAGCAGGAGGAGGAGGGAGGTCTACACAGAGGCGGGTCAAGTCTGTGAAGATTTCCAGAGACCAGCTGACAGGCTCCTCTCTTCCTTGTCCCCCAGGACAGGGGTGAATTCTGCCTGACTTATGAGTCGACCATGACTCGCTTGTTCCTGGAAGGCCGGACAGAGACGGTGCGGTCTTGCACGAGGGAGGCCTGCAACTTCGTGAGAGCCATGGAGGACAAAGAGAAAACAGTGGGTGTAGGCCTCGTTTGAGGCTTTGGTCATTTCCATATACTCATTCCTATATTTGCAAATATTTTTGGAGCACCTTCTGAGGACCAGGCCCCACGATGGGCATTATGGACAAAGGAGGAACCAGACCTGGTCTCTGACCTCAAGGAACTCACTGGTGGGGAGAGACAGAGATATTTCTGCGTAGTGCAATACATGCTTTAATGGGGGTCACATGGGGCACTGGGGAGTACCCAACAGGGATCCTTGGTTCCACAATGTAGCTCTCTTTGATTATTTAACCTCTATGTGACCTTGTGACTTCCATTTGTACCCTTCCGTGTAGTCCCTATATAACCTCTCTACTCAGAACCCCCTGGGTATCTCTGTTCCCCCTACCCCCTACCTATTCTGGGTCAATGGAAGGAGTTGGGGCCCTATATCAGGCAGACCTGGGAACCCACCTGATTCTGCTTTGCTCTGTGACCTTGGGCAAGTGACTTCCCCTTTCTGAGCCTGTTTCCCCTCTGTAAAATAGAATTGATATCTCTGCCTTGCAGGGATTTTGCAAGCTCCTTTGAGGCTGGGGGTGTATGACAGGCCCCAACAGTAAGCCCACTTCCTGTCTTTCCATGACCTGTGATCTCCCCGGGGGACCCCAGGAACCCCAGCGCCGTGCTCTGTTCCGCCTGGCAGTGGAAAAGCACCAGGCTCTGCTGAAGGCAGCGATGAGCGGACAGGGAGTCGACCGCCACCTCTTTGCGCTCTACATCGTGTCCGAATTTCTCCACTTACGGTCGCCCTTTCTGGACCAGGTTGGGGTGCAGGGAAAGGGTTAGGGAAGAGGGGAACCACGGGAGGAGACGGGTACTTGGGGATAAGGAGGGTGAGGTTGGGAAAGGGAGGTATTAGGGGCACCTGGGTGGCTCAGTGGTTAAGCATCTGCTTTCCACTCAGGTCATGATCCCAGGCTCCTGGGATCGAGCCCCGCATCGGGCTCCCTGCTCTGCGGGAAGCCTGCTTCTCCCTCTCCCACTCCCCCTGCTTGTGTTCTCTCTCTCTCATTGTGTTTCTCTCTGTCAGATAAATAAACAAAATCTTAAAAAAAAAAAAAAAAAAAAGGAAAAGGGAGGTATTAGAGGAGAGAGTTGCTGGGGGGGGTGGAGAGGGAAAAGGGGGAAAGAGAAGAGAGGGGCGGGGTCAGGGCGAAGAGGAGGCGTGGCCAGGGAGGGTGAAAGGAGGCGTGGTCAGGAAAACCCAAGAGAAGGGCGGGATCAGGCAGAAGCGGAGAGGAGAGGTGTGGTCCGAAAAGGAGGAGAGCGGAGGTGAGGGTGTCCGGGAGGGGAAGGACAGAGAAACCGGGCGATTTAGAGGAAATAGGCAGTCAGGGGAGGTCAGAAAGGGCCAGGGTTGCGTGGAACCGAGCCAAGGGGGCGCGGACCGGTGGGTCTGTCCGTCTTTATTGCATACTTGACCATCTCCTGTCCCTCAGGTTCACTCGGAGCAGTGGCCTCTGGCCACCAGCCAGATCCCTGTTCAGCAAATCCACCTATTTGATGTCCACAATTACCCTGACTATGTTTCCTCTGGTGGTGGATTTGGGCCTGTGAGTGAACCCGGGCCTGATCCCACCTCCCCGGACCCGGCGCCCTGAGGGACGAGGGCGTTGGGGGTCTGCACTCCGGCCTAGCGGGGGGCGGGGGGGAGGACACCGGAGGCTATTTGGTTCCCCTCCCTCTGTCCCTCTCCAGGCCGATGACCATGGTTATGGCGTTTCGTACATCTTCATGGGGGATGACACCATCACCTTCCACATCTCCAGCAAAAAATCTAGCACAAAAACGGTGAGACAGAGTTGCACACACACCCCTGTACCCTCCTCCCTCAGGACCCAGGGATCTGGACTCCTAGCTCCCTCCCCTCCTACAACCAAGGAGTCTAGAATCCCAGCTCTCCGCTGCCCCCACGATCCAGGAATCCCAGTCCCAGCCCCCCTCCTCCCTCAGACCAGGATACCAGCCCTCTTGTTTTCCAGCACCAAGGAGTCCCTCTCCCAGTTTCTCCTGGACATGACGTATTTCTCCTTCCAGGACTCCCACCGACTGGGGCAGCACATTGAGGACGCACTGTTGGATGTGGCCTCCCTCTTCCAGGACGGGCAGCGTCCTAAGCCCAGGTGCAGAGGGTTACAGGAGGAGCACACGGGGCACAGGGGTGGCTCTCTCCCCTGCCACAGGACGGGCTCCAGGGCACCCACAAAATCCACCAACTTTTGACCCCTCCCTGCAGGGAGCTGGTCTCCCCAAGAGCTAGAGAGAGGGTCTCTACAACTGGGCTGGTGCAGGACAGAGGTGGCCTGTTTGGGTTTGGAACATCCCACATCTGGTCCAATAAAGATGCATAAGCTGGGCGTGTGGTGTTCGCCGTGCTGTCGGGCTGGGCAGGGGTGGGAGAGGTGAGGCTTAGGGTGGAGGAGGAGAAAAGTTCCCCTCCAGCCCCAGGCCCAACCATGAATTCTCAGTTACAATCAGTTTCAGCTACAACCCCCAACCCTGCCCATTCTGTTGCATTCCCAGCTCCAGTCACACCAAACCTAACCATCCAAGGCCCACCCCAGTCAAACAACCCCCAAAACTCTCATTAGTCCAGTTCCTGCGGTCCCAGTGCCCCTGCCCACCCCAAACATAAAGATTGACACCATTCCACCCACCCTGACACCCCTCAAATGAACCCCTCAAGATTCTTATTCCTCAACCCCAACCCCAGCCATTTCAACCCCCACCTCGATGATGGGTTCAGCTCCCATAACCAGGAAATGCACTACCTAATGTTCGCCCCTCACCACGGTCGATTCCAACGACCAACGCCTCCAAAACACCACACTCCACTACACCTAACGACTCAACCACAATTCGGAGCGTACGACCAACACAAAAATGTCCAACCCCAAACTCCTTCACCCCACCAAAACTCCCATCCCATCCCCACCATAACCCAAACTTAAATTTGACCCATAGTTATGACTTTAAACACCACACTCCTTGATCGCACCCCCACTCTACCCCCACTACACTTACAACCCCCACCAGCTCAATTGCAGTCATATCAACACCAACCCCATCTAACCACACCGAAACCCCAATGATCCAGTCCACCACTGCCATGATTCCCATACTCCATGATACCAAGCCCCGTTGTTTCTGTCAAGTTAAGCATAATAACCCAAGCCCCACAACACATTAAAGTCCTGAACACCTTAACTGCCACGAGCCCAACCTTCACACCCAACCCACTAACTCTAGTGGTTTTGAAAAATGTCCACAAGTGGGGCACCTGGCCGGCTCAGTCAGGAGAGCGTGCAACTCTTGATCTCGGGGGCGTGATTTCAAGCCCCGTGCTGGAGATCGAGTTTACATAATTAAAAAAAATTTTTTCCACAAGTACTTTGACCCTCTTCCCTCCACAAGGTGGACCTTCCTCCTTCTCCCCTTGAGTGTGGACTGGAACAAGTGACTCTTTTCCCCCAAGTAAAAGAATATGGTAGAAGTGACTGTGATGTGAAAGACATTCTGGCTTCCTTCTCGCTCGCTCTCTCTGAGTCACTTGCTCTGCGGGAAACCATCCGCCATGTTGTGGGAACACTCAAGCAGCTTGTGGGGAGGCCCACGTGGTGAAACACTGAGGCCTCCTGCCAACCACCAGTGAGGAACACGTGAGGGAACTATTTTTAAAGCAGATTCTCCCACCCCAGTCAACCCTTCAGATGACTGCAGCCCAGCTGACCTCTTGGCTATAACCTCATATGAGACCCTGAGCCAGACTCCTGACTTGCAGAAACTGTGAGATAATAAATGTTTGTTATTTTAAGCTGTTATGTTTGGGGTTTTCTTTATATGCAGCAGTAGAAAAGTAATGCAAACTCCAAAGACCTCAGCTTCAACCCCATATCCCTAACCTCATCCCATTTCCAAATCCATTCCTATGGTGGACAGAGCCTGAGGTGACCCCTGACGATCTGCCACCTCTTGATGTCCACACCTTCGTGTCATCCCTTTGAGTGTGGGCAGACCCGTGGCTTACTCCCAATCAATAGTATATGGCAAAGGTAATGGCATGTCACTCCCTTAATCTCTCCATGGGGTGAGAGATTATCTATGCTGACTTGCAGCCATGTTGAGAAAGTTTCCTTTCCAAAGAACAGTGGGTGGCCTCTAGAACTTGAGGCCCACCACCAGCCAACATCCAGGGAAGCTCTGGAGCACTCAGTCATACAGCCAAAAGAAAATGAATGGATTCCACCAACAGTCTAAGGAAGCTTGGAAGTGGCTCTCCCCTCCAAGTGGCGCCCCAGAGAATCTTTTTTTTTTTAACTTAAGATTTTTTTTTTAAAGTAATCTCTACACTTATGAGTTCGAGGGGCTCGAACTCATAATCCTGAGATCAAGAGTTGCATGCTCCACTGACTGAGCCAGTCAGGTGCCCCTAAGTGGAGAATCGAACTAAACTCTGTCTGGACTTCTGACCTATGGAAATTGTGAGATAATCAATGTGTGTTTTAAGCCTCTAAATTTGGGGTAATTTGTCATGCAGCAACAGACAATGAAAACAATCCCCCGTTTCATCTCCCACCAAACCATATCCCCCTCCTGTGAGAGAATACATTCTGTTGTTTAAGTCACTATGTTTATGGTACTTTGTGATGGCAGCCTAAGAAAACTGATATAAGGGTCATTATTCAGCCCACTGTATTGAGTTTGGTCATTGTACTATGGTTAGACAAGATGTTAATATTAGAAGGTGAGTAAAGGGGGTGCAGGAACCATCTGTATTACTGCTTTTTTTTTTTTTTTTTCTAAAGTAGCCTCCAGGGGCGCCTGGCTGGCTCAGCCATTAAGCGTCTGCCTTCGGCTCAGGTCATGATCCCAGGGTCCTGGGATCGAGCCCTGCATCGGGCTCACTGCTCCACGGGAAACCTGCTTTTCCCTCTCCCACTCCCCCTGCTTGTGTCCCTCTCACTGTTTCTGTCAAATAAATAAATAAATAATCTTAAAAAAATAAGTAGGCTCCACATGCAAGGTGGGACTGGAACTCACGACTCCAACATCACAAGTCACATGTTCTACTGACTGAGATGGCCAGGTGCCCCTGTACTACTTTTTTAAAATAGACTTTATTGGGGGGCCTGGGTGGCTCAGTTGGTTGAACATCTGACTCTTGGTTTCGGCTGGGGTAATGATCTCAGGGTTGTGAGATGGAGCCCTGCATTGAGCCCCTCATCAGAGTCTGCTCAGCAAGGAATTGGCTTGAGATTCTCTCCTTCTCCTTCTCCCCCCCCCCACCCTTCCCCCTGCTTGCTCTCTCTAATAAACAAGTAAAAAAATAAAATAAAATAAGACTTCATTTTTTAGAGCAGTTTTAGGTTCACAGAAAAATTGACAAAAGGCACAAAGTGTTCCCATATGCCTCCTGCCAGACTCCCCCCATTATCTCCATCCCCCCACCAGGATTTGCTACAATTCAGGAACCTACATTGACACCTCATTGTCACTTTTGCGACTTTCTCCAATCCAAAATTATTTCAACTTTTTCTTAAGAGAAGGCTGGGCCTTTATTGCCGAATAGGCTACTTGAGAGGGACAAAGTGGCAGGAATAGGACGGCTCAATACCAGGCCAGCTGTGTTTCAGAGGTTTGCAGGTGACGGAGAACTCGCCCAGCTACTGGCCAGTCATCTCCTACTTGATTTCCACCTGGGGAAGGTCTTGCCCTCGTAGACACCCACCAAGCTGCTCACCACCTCAGGCAGGTGATTACACCCCGCAGGGGCGTCGCAACCACCTGCGGGTTCTCCAAAGGACAGCCACCCTCTTGGCCTTGCGCAGGCGCTTCAGCAGTCAGCGCCACGTCCCGCGCAGACCCCGGGTGCGGGGCAGGTGCGTCAGGTGCGTCACGGTGCGTCACGTACGTCAGCTGCTCGTGGGCGGGACAAGCGGCTAGTGGAGGGCCACACTCCTCTACGTGAACTTGCGGAAGGCCTCTGCTCTTCCACTTTCGCCGTAGTTTCAGCTCTTCGGAAAGGTAAAGTGACCATTTATTTATTTATTTTTAATTAATTAATTAATTTTTTTTGAGAGGGGGAGGGGCAGAGGGTGAGAATCCCCCAGCAGACGCCCTGCTGAGGGCGGAGCCCAAGGGGGGCTCATCCCAGGACCCCGAGATCATGACCTGAATGGAAACCAAGAGTGTGTCGCTATACTGACTGAACCACCCAGGCGCCCCTAAAATAACCATTTTTAAGGTTATTGGAAATATGTGCAATATATCATGACAAGGCTAACAAGTGTGGATCAGAGGATCATGCGACAAGCATAAATCTTGTTAAAGACCAATTCATTCATGTATTCGTTCAACAAACAGTATTAAATGTAAAAAATATATATAATTGGTTTTATTAAATTTTTTTAAAATAATTTTTATTATGTTAATCACCATACATTACATCATTAGTTTTTGATGTAGTGTTCCATGATTCATTGTTTGTGCATAACACCCAGTGCTCCCATCACCAGGCTAACCCATCCCCCCACCCCCCTCCCCTCTAGGGTTTAATTAAGTTTTTAAAAAGATTTTTATTTATTTACTTATTTGTCAGAGAGCGAGGACAAGCAGGGGGAGTGGCAGAGGGAGAAGCAGGCTCCCTACTGAGCAAGGAGCCCAATATTGGACTCTATCCCAGGACCCTGGGATCACGGCTCAGGCCAAAGGCAGACGCTTAACCGACTGAGCCACACAGACATCCCTATGTAATTGTTTTTAAAGTTCCATCTTTGGGCATTTGCTATTAAGAAATTACATTAATTCTTGGGACGCCTGGGTGGCTCAGTCGGTTAAGCGGCTGCCTTCGGCCCAGGTCATGATCCCAGGGTCCTGGGATCGAGTCCCACATCGGGCTCCTTGCTCAGCAGGGAGCCTGCTTCTCCCTCTCTCTCCCTCTGCTTGTGCTCTGTCAAATAAATAAAATCTTTAAAAAAAAAAAAAAAAAGAAATTACATTAATTCTTTATGGGTGATAATGACACTGTGGTCATGTTATAAAGAACCCTTATCTTTGGGGCTCCTGGGTGGCTCAGTCGTTAGGCTGCCTTCGGCTCAGGTCATGATCCCGGGGTCCTGGGATCGAGCCCCACATCTGGCTCCCTGCTCCACGGGAAGCCTGCTTCTCCCTCTCCCACTCCCCCCTGCTTGTGTTCCCTCTTTCGCTGTGTCTCTCTCTGTCAAATAAATAAATAAAATCTTAAAAAAAAAAACCCTTATCTTTAAGGAAATGCACACTGAAGTATTTAGGGATGAAACAAGATTATATGGGTGAGCTTCCCAGTGATCCCGCGGAGAGGCATTACATTGTTGTCTAT